TTTTTCTGAAGTTGCTGTACTGAAAACAAAGAAGACAGAACTTTTCCTTGAACAAACTGGAAACTGGAAAGAAGAGATGACTTTAGTTAATATAAGTGCAGCATTCTGATCTGAGTACAAAGAATCTCAGATAATAGTGATATCATGCATACTGAAAAAACAATAATGTACTGAGAGCTTCATTTCATGATCCAGTGTCTATGATAATAGCTAGTATATAAATTTACTAATGCCATGGACAAATACAAGAACATAATGTTTATTTCGTTTACAATGGACTGCACGAATAATCAGAAGCTAGACTAGCAGCAATAAGCACCTCAAATCACAATGAAGATCATCAAATAGCAATAAAGGTAACTATTACAATCTTTATAAGAAAAAATAAAGAAAAACACATGCAGTTTTTAAAGAAATACCAATGCAATTTTTTAAGAAAAACACGTGCAGGTTTTAAAGAAATATCAATGCAATTTTTTAAGTAACATAGTAAACTAACATCTGGAGACCTACTTGGGGACAAAAGTAGCCAATAGCCCATGTTTTCTGGCGACAGACCGAATAACTTCACGTGTGTAAACTAAGTTGTCAGCAGCTTTTTCACATGTAGTGTAGCCCAATGCGAGTTCAAATTGACCATGCCCAGCTTCTGGATGCAGCTACAAAATTTCAAAAGCTGAACATAATGGACTAGTTTCTGAAATGTCTCAATTATTTTTAATTTCAGGTCCTTCAAAAAGGTTGAAAGCAATGTAAAATTATATACCATGTACGTCTAGTTTAAATATACAATGACAATAATATATACATAGAGGGAGGGAGGGAGGGAGTCCCAGGGTAGAAGATTCTTGCCCAAGTATCCTTATATACCTGTTCCACTACAATATTCAAGGACTGAAGACAAGTCACAATTTCATTAAGTACAGAAAAAGCAGCATCAAATGCTGACGTTGAGCAGTAAGGAGTTGCATCAAATGGGACCCATTTTTCTGTCCCATCCCTAGAAGAGTTCATCACAAGACACAATCAAGTCATAATTCACAAGGGTAAATTAGAACAACGAATAAATCAAATGATTTTGACTTACACTAGCACACTCCTTAAGAGATAAAACTCATTCTCAAATCCTGCATTCATTACCTGCACAGCCAGAATTTTCACATAAGATTGCACAAAGATAAACAGTTAAACTCAACAAATCAGATATTACCAAGTTAAATTCATCTTTTAGAACTTTTGAAACTCTTTTCAGAGTCTCTCTGGGGCAATACTCCCATGGAATTCCAGGTTTACTGTGCATGTCAGCTAGAACCATTTCCTGCTCTTTTGCCCTGTCGCATAGAGAATGTAAAGAAACCGAGTGCTCTAGCAACAAGGGTATACTTCTACAAGGATTTTTCAGATTAACAAGTATATATAAAATTAGAGGAGAGCAAAAGAACCTAGCATTAATCCTTTCGATCAATTAAAGAAGAAGTACTATACCAAGGAATTATGCTTTTGGTTGATAGATCAGGAATGAGTCTGATTTCACCCACTCCACTAAGATTGGTTCCATCAGCAGGACCATCCATGTGGGAAGACATTGCCATAGATGCGCAGGTTAAACCAACACCATTCTTCGTAACAATATCATGGAAACGTTTTCGAGGAACCACCTGAAACATAAATCAGAACATCATAGATAAAGTTGATTCTTATAAGAGAATCATTCAAGGTTGGCAAAAACCAGAGATCAACAGAAATCAACTCGAACCATTAGGCATCCACGCCAAATGAGTGAAAACATAAATAGAAAATAAAAACAGATTGCGCATTATTATCCAGTGGTTATGTATCAGCTTTTCGACAAAAGTAGTGTTGGAACTGTCAGTCTGACAAGGAAAAAGTGTGAAAAAAATATATAATAATAATAATAATAATAATAATAATAATAATAATAATAATAATAATAATAATAATAATAATAGTAATAACAATAACAATAATAATAATAATAATAACAACAACAATAATAATAAGAATAATAATAATAATAGTTGAGGTTTCACCGTCTAAAAGTGTTACTCTCTCCTATTCATAATAAGTGTCGTTTTGGGAAGTTGCACATTAATTAAGAATAATTTTTTTGCCAATAATAACCCTCAATAGAGATGGATGTTTTAAAAAAAAGATGAAGAGAATATGAAAAGACGTAGTGTATTTATTAACTAAATGAGGGTAATAATGGAAAAATATGTATAAAAGATCCAAAACGACATTTATTTTGGTTAATAGTTGATAAAGCCAAAATGACATTTAAAAAGAATAGGAGGTAGTACTATTTTGCATATTGACCATCAAGATTTTAAACAATTTCCTGAAAGCTTATAGTTAAACTTTCTTATGAGTTATGACAGAAGAAGTTTACTAAAAAAGGGATCATGCAATAAATGAAGAAAAGTGGAAACAGAGCTACCAGGGAATAAAAAGAGACTCACGCGACATCTCTGCTGTCCAGAACCATCAACCCAAATTATGCGAATATATGCAACATCCGGAGCAGAAGCACTTATGTCGAGCTTCACTGAGGGGCATGCAATGTTATTCGAATTAAACAATTCTAGATCATGCTTAATTTTGTACAGCTCTCTTGCATTTTCAGAAAATATGTCTTTAGCGGCTTGGACAGCTTCTGGAACTGAAAGATCTCCATCTATGCACGAATCACGCAGAACAGCAAAAACAATCTCGCGTGCTTCCTTTGCACCTGTTAAGGCAGTCACATCAAGATTTAGTAATATAGAGTCATTACTTTTGAATGGAAAGTACGCTGGACAGTGTTTAAATGATGTTAATTAAACATGATATAAGCTAGCAATAGACCAAAAAGGAAGAGATATGAAGCAATTAGAGAATAAATCAACCTAAGTAGAAACTCTCAGGAAAACCACAGCCATCAGTACTGAACATCACCTGCAAGTTGCAATATATTTTGCTGTCATGTTAGGAAAACATTTGTGAAAAGTGAAGTTCTCTGATACAAGATCACACTGGATAGTGAAAAACACATATAGTCTTCCACAGAAGCCCCATCTCATACTTCAAAGTATAATGTTAAAACAATATCCTATAACCATGACATCAACCTTCTTTATTGGTGCCAACTCCAAGAGCTCTTTGACTGATGATAGCATCCCATGAAAGCTAAGTTTAGGCACTGCCAGCCCAAAGTCCAGAAAGACCTATGATTAACGGTGTCGATTAGAAGATTCAGCGACAAGACCTGTCTGATTATTTGCAACAACTTCTGGATCATACCTGAGAGTACACAGAGGCCAGATATGATGCTTCTTTTGAAAAAGGGTATGATGCATGTAGCAAAACAATTCGGCATTTGCTGAATCTTCTGTCCTCAAGAAGATTACGAAGATGAAGGGGATTGGATAACCGTAAATCAAGATCTTTGTCCCCAAAACTACAGGAGCAATAGAATAATCAGTACTGTATTTTTGTTGACAATATATTATTTGAACTATTAGTAAATGTTTGTTGATCAATCAAATAAGATGTAGAAAAAAACATAGAATCTTGAGAGCTGCCACTTTCTAGAAACCTAACCAGAGAATGAACCCCTGGTAATCTCCACTAATGTAAACTAAAATTGTTCAGTATAAAATCTCTCGATACAGATAAGCTAAGAAAAAAACCACCCCATTACCCTGTGTGTATCTGCACCGGCAAGTCAAAGCATTGGGCAACCTCCAATGCACGGATGAAGATGTGATCAATAAAGTTTTTATTGGTGATGCAAACAGGTTTTCTGGCTGGAAAAGCATAATATCAAAATGATGTGATCGCAGATATTAAAACAAATCCATTTATTCAAAAGCATACCTCGCAAAACATCCTTAAAGCCCTCACTGGCGTCCGTTTGCGAGACATTGGGATTAATATCAAGTCCACTGCGGTATGCAGCTATACTTTTAAAGCCAATGATTTTGTCAGCATGCGTACTGAATTGATAAGGAAACCATAGAGAACTTAAACATTCCTTCTACATACATAATCATCAAAACGCATTTAAGAACACATAAACGAGGCCAGAAGGATATGACTTTAAATTATCCACAAATGTTTTTGTAAATGACTCCAGTGTCCATTCACTTCCATCAGGACTGCCCTGATCGGAGTTT